AGCATGATAGAACTCAGCACTGGACAAAAAGAGGTGAGTGTGTGGATTCCAACCGAAACACATCTGATTGGCCATTGCGTTGTAGAAATAAACAAACAAACATGTCTGTGATTGGCTACTTTGCTCCCTTCTGCGAAAATGCATTGTAAAATCATTTGACGCTTTCCAAAACAAAAGGGCAGATACACTGGATTGTTTGCCAAATCTATTTCATGCTATTATTAGGAAGAAAACAGATCCTAGACCAGGAGTTATGGGCAGCTTTTCCATCTAAAAGCAATCAGTTAGACTATTTTACACGCGAAACTAAAGTCCGGCCATCCCCCTCGGTCCGGAGGGGGGCACAGGGATGTCCGTGGTGGGGCACAGGGATGTCCGTGGTGGGGCAAAGCCCCCCCGGCCCCCCCTCTGGCACCAAACTCATTGACTTCCACTATTTTTTTTAGACATACAATTGAAAAAGTCTATGGGAACCAAAATGGTTTGATTATTAACATTAAAAATATCTTCCATTTCCTTTCCACAGGAAAAAAAAACTCGTCCAGGTTTGGAAAAATATAAGGGTGAGTAAACAATGTTTTCATTTTGGGGTGAACTATCCCTTTAAAAAATGAAATCTTTTTTTTTTTAGGACAATTATAGTGTTAAAACCAAATCGAGTCATTGTGGGATGTAATACGTGAGAGTTTCAGACCCACATGGTTATGAGGAATTGATTTAATATTTTCCTCAGTTCCTCTACTGAGCATTGGGACATAGACACATGCAAGGTTTCTCAAACATTTGCCAGACAGCTGATGAGCTAAACGGCGATAACTTTGACAGTTCATCAGTGCAGAAGGCACGGAGTCAGAAAAGATGGGTAAACATGGGGACTAGTTAAGGAATCAAAACACAATCCAGAACCATAGCCCTGAGCATCTGTTTACAGATACATAAAAACACTCTTCCTGAGCCAAGTTATTTCATTTTAATAGCATTTTCAGTGAAAGCACATGATAATTTCCACTGGGGCTCAAAACAGTATGAGATCAACGGCATAATTTAGCAAAATTAGATTTCATTCTATGCAGTCAGTTGATGCAGGTTTGACTGTAGCTTACTGCCTATGCAAAATGACTCATGGTGGGACATGAGAGCAGAGCTCACCTGACTCTTGTGGATTGAAATGGCCCAGGCCAGTTTGAGTGGCCGCTGCTGTCGGCTCAGGTACAGCCCCCCTGACGCTTTAAACATCCAACGCTCTCTCTTTATTACCTCAACAGCCCCGCAAAGGAATCGCACCCGAGGGAGACCTGCAAGGAGACGGGTGGTCACAAATGATGGTATGTCACAACATCTCACACAATGTTTATATTCTCTGAAATACGTTGGTGTTCTATAACTAGCCAGATACAGATATTGAGTGATATTTAGCTAAATCTCATGAAGCCAGTGAAGAAAATGTCAAAAAATTGCATTGAAAACCCCTAATTCTCATTACGGTCATAAATAATTGTTTAAAAAAAAAAAAAAAAAAAGTAAATGGGGTCTGTAAAATTTGTCTCTTATGCTCTACATTCTTTTAATCAAAAATACAGAAAAACCATAATATAGCGTAATAAAGACATTTTCTCCATTTTAACATTTTCATTCAAATTAATTTATTCCTGTGATGGCAAAGCTGATTTTCAGCAGCCATTACTCCAGTGTCACGTGACACTTCAGAAACCATTCTAAATTGTTGAATTGCTGCTCAAAAGAACTGCATTTATTTGAAATGGAAATCAGAAAAAAAAACATAAGCTTTAAATTGATATGTAAAACAACAACAACATGCTAGTGTTTGTACTACTTGCCAGTGTTTTATTAAAATCAGTGTAAATTAAATTAGTTGTAATAGCTAATTACATTCCAACAGCATGAGGTCACAAATCAATTAACCAAAATGGTCCTAAAGATAGGCTTCCAATTACTTTACACAATAACTCCTTATGATTTTGTGATAAAATACAACCTGGACATATTCTTTTGAGATTTATCCATTTATTTTCCCATTTTCATGATAACGTAAAAGAAAGCGACAAAGTAAAATAAGATGTGTTAGGGGAAGCGCTAGTCACCATTTCAGTCAGTCGTACCTTGATTGCCTGGCTGAAAGTCAACCACTACTCCTCTGGCTCCATTCACTAGACCCCTCTGGACATCCAAGTTTTTAGTGAGCATGACCTGAAGTAGTAAAAAGTTTCTTGCAACATTTGACATTACAAATCAAGAGCAAATGTTTGCCAGAGGGGGTGTTGGGGAACACCTACCTGAGCTCCCACTTTCAGCTGTAACAGCCGACTGACTGGACTCTGTGCGTCAATGGTCTGAAACAGCATAGGGTCACTATCCACAGCCTCAAACACTCGCATGACCCCTGCAAAGGAAACACTTAAGAGACTGAATCTGATTCAGAATCTGATTCAGATCTGGTCTGATTTTTAAAAACTAAATAAATGTACTCCTATACATTGTCAGAGGTGCTTTCTAGTTCTTTGTTGTCACTTACACCGTATGAATCAGATGGTAGATTTCTAATAGATATTTCCGTTTCCATATATATCTTACTCCATGCCATTCACTTCACAGCACTGACAGCAGTACCAGAACAACTACCACCTGATGCAACCAGCAAACCAAAAATCACATCTCCAGTTTGAAATGATATTTCTGTATGACTAACCTGGTAACTCTTTGAGTTTATTCTCATTGGTGAGCTCCACATCATCCTTGTGTGTGCACAGCCTGGTTGCTAGGATACCATCCCTCTCGATGCTGTGATAGGCACTTCTCAGTAGCTGTGCAGTAACTTCCTCTGGGACTCTACAGAATGGGACCAATCAAGATGATCAGCTGAATCAATTGACAACTTCATTGATTACAAGATGAAGCTTGAAAGTTCCCTGCTACAATACCTATAAACATTCAAATCTCTCCTACAAGAACCACCTTAGGTTGTAGAAAAAAAAAAAAACTGACCCTGAACCACATGGACTTTATCCCAATAACACTCAGAGCCAGTGACTCACTGCACTGAACTGTGGATGTGATGAGAACTCAGTACCTGCCCACTCTCACAGCCTGGAGGAGAGAGATGAAGGCCTTGTCTGTTTGTCTGCGCACCTCCGTCAGCTCCATGTTCATATGGATACACTTCCGCCAGCTTCTTGACTGCAGGCAAAAATTGACTTTTCTTATCTTATTCTTAGAAATGTAGACAAGAGATACTTAATGTAATTATACACAAAAAAATGAACAAAACCAGTATTTTCTATTTTGCATTACAAATTGTTTGAAAACGAAAAGTTTCATGATTTACTCACATTCCAAACCCAATAATATTTCATAAAATTTCATTCATAAAATAACATTTCATTTATCTTCAAAACAAAACAGATTTTTAATTCAAGGTGCTGTATGTAGGATTGACACCGAGTGGTTGAACTAGGTATTGCAGTCCAAATTCAAAATATTGGAGAGGGTTTTTTTCACCCGGCCCCTCCTCCTCAGACTTGACGCACAAGCAGGTTGCCAGATTGACGACACACGAGCGCACATGACGATGAATGAAATGAAATACGCTGTGTTTTGCGCCAACTGGCAACCCGGCGTGCCGAAATACAATTGGGTAAACTGGCAGTGGGCGGGTTTCAAAAAACAAAACAGAGACCAACATTCCGGTCCGGAACGCACATTTTCATAGGAGAATAACTGACTGTAGCATTGCTTTTCAGATAAAAAATATGTTAACTTAGCATGTTTCTTAAATATCTGCAAACATATTATGGTATTTTTATGCTTTAGTAGAGTCAAAAACTTACATACAGCACCTTTAAACCTCAAAGCCCTAGAGATTTCTGTCTGACAATTTAAAGTCCATTCCACCAATTACTTGCTTTAGGAAGTTCATAAAGACATCCTAAAAGAAATCCATATGAATATCTATGTATGGGTGATGTTTATGTGAATATAAGCCTAAATTAAATCTGTTCATCAAAGTGATCCATTCTCTTCAGAAGATTTGGATTAAAACCCTCGATTCATATGGATTGCTTTTAGGATTTATGAACTTTATGAAACATCAGTAGCTAGCAATGTTGGGACAAATATTTCAGAATTTATTAAAAAGTTAGTCATTTGCATTTGTTCATTTTGTCTTATGGGTTTGCAACATGAGGGTGAGTAAGTGCCAAATTTTTCTTTTTTTTTGATTGAACTTTCCCTTTAAAGCAAAGTCATATCAAAGCTGAAGCGGACACGCATGAATGATCCCTAAAGGCTCGTTCACAATGAGGTAGATAACTATAATTATAATTCTATAAGAAACGAAACGGTAACTATATGACACAGAGGAACAATATCATCAGATTTAGAAGGAAAAGCGGAGTAACAAAAAATATTGACAGCCAAAGAGCGCCAGCATTTGAAGTGGCAGCTATAACGTAACTGCAGCATATTCTTATAACAGAAAATTATCTTTTGTTGGTGTGGGAACTAATATAGTTATCATTCTTGGTGTGAATGGGCCATAAATGTGGAAAGCAGTACCTGAAAACAAAAGTATGCCTTTTGTATGTCCTTTCCTTTTGTTACAGGTGGAAGTTGAAGAAAATCTCCACACACTATCAGTTGAATCCCCCCAAACGGCTCAGTGGATCTTCTGATGGATCTAGACACATAATATACAGATGCCACTTGTCTAATAATGCAACTCTGACCTAATATTGAAAGATTTTGTATTGTCACTCTCCTTCAGAAAAGATGAGCATTTGCAAACATGTGCTAGACTGGGATTTTTGAGAATTGTTGATGGAACGCTTCGAATTCAATTGCTATTCAAGGTCTGATCCAAACCACATTCAAATATTCATGGTGTTCATTGGGAGAAAATCCAGAGTGACAAAATCAGATGCAACTAATCACGTTAAATGAAATTACTAAACCATTAAAACAACAACAACAACAAAATTAACCTTTATCACCACATTAATTTATGTTAAATTGAATTTTACCCATGTGGAAAATTAAGTGTACTGGAATAAACCGGTATCATGAACAGAGTTTTGAGTGTGGTTCACCTGGCTATGGCTTCCAGTTTGTCAAAGAACTCTGCTTCCACCATTGAAATCTCATCAATAACGAGGTGTTTGCAAGATGTCCAGTGCTGCATCACTCCAGGACGCTGAGCAAGCTCAATAGATTGTTCAAGAGGAGCAGAGCCAGAACCAATACCTGATAACAAGAAAAACTAAAATAACTCATAAACAACAGCACAACTCTTTTTATAGATGAGAGAAATGTGTTGATCATGACACTTCAGGAAAGTGACTCTGTACAACATTTGCCATCATTAATTATATAGGAAGAGCTTTCCTATATAGCACATGTAACATGTTTGCATTTGTTGGCAGTTGCATTTTTTCAGAGACATGAGTGAAAACGTAAACATTACTGGACCCATTCTAGCCTGTATGAATGATCAAGGAAATGCATCAAGAGAGCTGGAGAAAGCACTGCACTATAATTGATAGTCAGACATGTAAATGTTTACTAACCTGCAAAACTGTGCAGTGTGGTCCCTCCTATGTGACAAGCCGCAACACCTGTGCTTGCTGTTGCATACGTGCTTTTTGGAGGCAGGGAGCCTATAATCCTTTTGAGCAAGAAGGACTTTCCTGTACCTGAAATAAAGCCATGAACACTGGTGTTCAAAATGCTATGAAATAAAAGAGCTCTATATAAAACAATATGTGGCCATGAATAAATAAACTGTAAAAAAAATAAATAAAAATTACCTGCACTGCCGGTGAAAAACACATTCTTGCCACTCAAGACCGCATTGAGAACTGCAGTTTGTTCTTTGCTGAGCTTTTGTGCCACAGGCAGAACCAACACAGGCTTCTTATTGGGGTGAAGCGTTTTAACCTAAACAGGCAAATAATTATTTATTTGGCAGGGACCATGTACAATATAGAACATAAATGTTTCCATTTAACGCAATGTACCAGAGCTAGCCAATGGTAAATTTTATTCAGCAGTCGCTTGATTTATGAACTTAGTCCATAATTCTGCTAAATGCATGACAGAAGAACAATAAACCTTCACACACCGTTGTTGTAAAGTTCTTTTCCCCTCCCTTTTAAGATAGTAGGTGAAGGGAAGTGATAATCTTAATGAAAAAAGTTATATCTCAGAATCAAACAATTTATTTTAAAAAAAGTGAGACATGATTGAAATATGATTTTGATTACTAAAATTAATTGGTTTCTAAATTAATTAAATTTAATCCATTTCTTTTTCATAGACATACATTAATATGCATTTACTGTACTGTCAAAGTTATTTTAAGAGCATAATTGTTGAATGCAGGGCGGCAGGTCAAGAACTTTTATTAGGGAGGAGTTAACTAATTAATTTTGTTTGATAAATACTACTACTAATAATAATGCTGCTCGTGCTTCTGATTTGTAAAAACTGAAATGTAAGAACTTGTGAACGTGTCATGTACAAATGGATGAACATACCGGACTAGCGTCACAATCAGGTCTGGGTCTTTTTACTTGCTTCCTTTCACCCAGGACCTTATTGACAGATCTCTCTGAAGGACCTTTGGGTTGGATCGGGGCATTCACTTTACTTCTCATCTCGTTTGCCTTCTGCACATCTTTAAGCTGGAGTGGACTTAGGGTCTCAAAGGCTCTAGGAAGGCCAGCTCGTAGTTTATCCCTATCACTCATAGGCTTGATGCCTTGGGATGCCTGATGTTTGATGCTGAGCGTCTTCAGAAACATCTTCAAACGATCCGGTGGACAATCAGATACCAGAACCTGTGTGCTTTCCGGGATGAATTTTACAGTACATTTACCATCCTTTGCAAAGCGCGTAAAGAGCTGGAAATCGCGCAGCATGAAGTTTTGAGGAGATATGCCATCATGAACACGCAGGACCATATCTTGAAACTCATTCCGCCCTAATGTGACGGTGCCTTTGCGGATGAGCTGCCGTTTGATGGCTTGACCTGCAGGATTCAAGCGCTCCACTGCCACGGTGCACTGAAGCTCAGCTGGCTCAATGTGTCCCAACATTTTGCCTGAAGAGAACATAGAAGAACAGCTTAAAGCGTTTGACTGATTTAACTTATGACTTGATTTGTCATTTAATAATACCGAGTCCGGTATATACCGGTTTATAGAGGGCTTTGTTTATAATTTTAAATAATTTGCAAAATTAAAAAATATATATTCACACACTACTGACATTAATCTCAACTGAAAATTGAAATCGATAATAAAGGTACCACATATACATGTTTATCTAACGCAGAAGCCTAACTCACCTTTCTCGTGCACTGTTTAAACAGCGAGTCAACACCACCTGTTCATTCATTATGACGCGCACGCCACCACGATTTTCAAATAGTTCCGCTTGACAAAGATTGGTCAATAGTGACAAACTGCAGACCAATCAGACCATAGGTATTTAAACGAATAGCCAATCACCGATTGCGCTTAGTAAACGTAAGCGGCGGGCCCGCCTACGAGCTCGTGCTCCACCAATGAAACGACGCTGGTTTTCATTACGTCTCTTCCTTCCTGGGCTTCTCATGCTATACCCGACACTTCTCATGGACTGGTTGCTTTTCTTCCTTTTTAACCAAGTAATTTAGATAAATAAAGTTAAACAGATGAATTAACGGAGCATGCTTTATTCACGATTAACAAATTAAAGTTTATTTCATTATTTTATATTTCTTTCTTTCTTTCTTTCTTTCTTTCTTTCTATAATTGCTTTTTCCCCCTTTTTAACCAAGTAATTTAGATAAAATTAAACAGAGGATTTAACTGAGCATGCTTTATTCACAATTAACAAATTAAAGTTTTTTCTTTCTTTCTTTCTTTCTTTCTAGAATTGCCTTTCCCCTTTTTAACCAATTAATTTAAATATTAATAATAAATAATATAATAAAATTAAACAGATGAATTAACTGAGCATGCTTTATTCACGATTAACAAATTAAAGTATATATTATTATTTTATCTTTCTTTCTTTCTTTCTTTTATTTTTGGCTACTAAAGTATACACTTTAAACAAAATTTGTTTAAAAATCAAAATGGTAGGCTAAATAAAACAGATTATTGGAGTATATTTTACAAACAAACAAACAAAAAAATAAATAAAATAAAATTAACATCAGTGTGTCAGTGTGTTGCTTGTCTTTTTTGTAATTAATTGTTACATTTACTAACAATTTCTGAATAATAATTGTTTCTGCACCTATTTTCTTTCAGCATACATACATAAATAAATATGCCTGTGCCCATCCATCCAGAAACAGTTGGCAAGTCCCCTATATATTTTCTTATTATTCATCAATAAACCAGTGATTTACAATTATAGGTCATTTTCACATGGGCTAGGGTTTACTGTTTAGTGGCAGTAAAAAAACAAGTGTCTTTTGATTTAGAGGTGGTTAATTACATTTTCCAGTATAAAATATCAGTCATGGGTTGGTGTATTTCCGTAAACAAGAAGTGCTCTTTTACGTAAGCTGAGAAAGTAATTTCCAGGAACGGGTCACTGTCCCACATCATTAAGCTCCGTTCAGTACATGCAAGCTTTTCTTTAATTTATATTCATTGGCAAAACGACATCTGGCTGAGTTATGACGCTCAGGAGAGGTGGGCAATACCAGAATCCAGGCTGAATCCACTCCAACAGTAAGGACTGCCTTCACCCTGCACCCACAGCCCTTTGAAGATGTAGTGAGGTGGAAGAATAATAAACAGAACTACAGTGCACTGAAACATAATAATTAAGTTGATCTTGGACTTACATTTTATTTAATTACACATTATCTGTGATATGCAAATAAGTTTATGAGTGAAACTTCACAGAGTCTTGGTCGCAAAAGTGTAATTAGCAATCATATTAGGAATCATATCTAATCTTGCTTGCCACTCTGCCCCCAAGCAAACAGACCTGCTTCACTAAACCTTCACAAGAGATCTTTGGAAAGCAAAACATTTCCCTCATAAATGTCCCTTTAAAAATGCGGAACTGCCATGACAGGGTGTTATATGACACAGTGTTATCTTCAGTAGATATATGTTACATCCGTAGTGCTATAGAAATACTCTCCATGCAGTCTAATTCAGCATTGAGGAGAAAAGCATTCAAATTTTTTAATGGCCTTTAGAAAACAGTGTTATTGGACATTTACCAACCAGTTGATAATAATGGACATGTAGTGGATGAAAAATTCTTTGTAACGCTGTTCCCAGTGGAACACTCTTATTCCCTCGTACAGAATGGGCCAAAGAAAAGATTTACATCGCGTATATATAATGAGCCTACTATGACAGGAATTCCCCCTCATGACTGTGTGTACCTGCCAAACAGACTCATTACACTCATCATTATTTCAAAATGACTGCTGTTTGTGTAGATTATTTGCACTCCGCTGACATCTCTAATGACATCCTTCTGCCACATATATCACGTGTAATGATCACACATAACTAGTGTCCAGATTCTCACACTTTGGTCCCCATTAACTTGGGCTTTTATGCCTCATTTCTGAATTAGAAAAGTAAACCGTCCTGTATGCTGTCACAAAAAAAGTCCATCTGTAGACAGCCACTCTGCATAAAAATATATCTTAGAGCTCCAGTGATCATCAGTGGCGGCTCGTCGGGGGAGGCAGGGGAGGCACAGCTTCCCGAAAATTTTGAGGTGAAAATGGGAGGAGGCCGATTTCATGTTAATAAAATTCACAGTTCATTTCAGTTCATGTCTCAGAATGTGTATTTTTTGTTTGTAATTTCACAGCTGTAATACCATAACTTGTTAATGAAGTTGGAAAGCGCCACTTTTCTATCGCGAATGTGCCGAATCTGCTATTGTAATTACAACCGCTAGATGATAGAGAAGGGGAGGGGGAGGCCGGGGGAGAGCTGAGCTCTCGTGCCTCCGTTGATAAAAAAAAAATTTGCCAATCACCATCCAGTGTTCACTTTCAGCGCTGAGGAGTGTTGAGAAAAGAAACCTTGTAGAGGAGGCTAGCCTCCCTTCTGATATCAACCAGTCATCATAGAGATGTAAATTACGTGATATTAGTTTGAATGTGCTGCGCTGATAATGTACCAAGTACTTATGAGTAGCCATATTGAATATTTGATCGCCAACAGATTTACCAAGCTGTCATTCAAACAGCTTGGTAAATCAGCTTGGTAAATTTGTATATATACAAATTAAAAAAAAAAGGGAAAACATGCCTAACTGGATATAGGCTACAGCAGTCGCGGCTTAATTAAATGTCACAACAGGCAGCTTTCTTTTAACACAGACTTTTAAGAAGGGATGGATGTTTGCTTCAAGTGATAGGCCAGGTAAGTGAAATTATATTATCCTGCTGTATGTGTGTCGTTTTCTTTACGCTTTCTGACTAAAAGCAACCAAAAAGCCATTTTAAAGTGGTTAAGCTAACAATAATAATAATAATCGGCAGGGATCCCAGATCAATTCAATTAGTGTGCCTCCTCTATTTTAAAACCAACAAGCCACCACTGGTGATCATTATCATTCCTGCTTTGGTGAAATGTAAAGGGTATGTCTTTATGTGCAAAGTAAATGAACCAATGACTCATTTCACACCACACTATTGACTCAACTCAACATGCAATCAAGCATCTATAAATAAGTAAGAGCAGAGGTCAAAAAAAAACATTGGAGTGGAAATGTGGAAAGGTAAATGTTGTACAGTCTAGTTAAACCCTTGATCTCAATCCAATGGACCTTAACAAGGTTAGACATATTGAATATTCAAATAGGTGAAAACCAGACTGTGAGGGACACATTTATAATTGCATGCGCTGTATGGTCCTAGATCACATGTCATTTTTAAAACTCAAAATGTTCTAAACAGTTTTATGGAGTTTTTGTCAACTGAAAGTCTTTTGGAAAGATGTTTTGGCAGCTGTCGGTATGTTGTTAAATAACAGTACAACCAATACAAAGTAAATCAGTACAAACAGTGCAAACTGTACATCTATCTATCTATCTATCTATCTATCTATATAAATATGGCGCTATCCTGACTAAGTTCTATTGACAATATCACTATTTGTAAACAGTGGCGCACAAATAATGCATCCAATAACGTCAGTTTAGTCAATTAAATAATATTGCTGAATGCTAAGTGTCCCCAACTAAACAAGCCAGAGATGACAATGGCAAGGAACCCATACTCCATTGGTGACAGAAATGGAGAAAAAACCTTGAAAGATACCAGACTTGGTCGCGGAGCCAGTTCTACTCTGGCCAAACCGATGGTTGCCATGTCGATGAGGTCTTCACAGGGGATCTGTCTCTAGGGCTTATCCTGTTGTCATGGTTTCTGCTGACAGTTGTGGTCGTCTTTAGGTGCAGGCCTACCATCTGATCTGGATACGGACTGTATCCAACTGACTACGGTGATCTCAGAATAAGGATGAAACAGATATATAATGTAAGGGTGTTATGGGAAGTGTTCCCGGTTTCGGTTGACCTAATTTAAGCAGGCTAACAATCCTTTAACGGATTTAAATTATATAATTCTTATAGTGTGCAAATGTGAATGCAAGGTTACAGAGATGGGTCTTTAATCTAGATTTAAACTGACGGCATGTGTCTGCCTCCCGAACAGAGCTAGGAAGACTGTTCCAGAGTTTGGGTGCACATAGGAAAAGGATATACCACAAGCAGTTAATTTTGATATTCTAGGTAAACTGGCTAGAATTTTGAGCATATATAGTATATTTATATTTAATATAATGCATTAAGAGTTTGCTCCAGTTCTGAGGAGCTAAACCATTCGAGCTTAGTAAGTAATCAGCAGGATTTTAAAATGTATTCAATGTTCAATAAGGAGCCAATTAAAGTATGTGCAATAACCTTATACTTATTTATCACCCTAAATCCTAGTATATCCCTACAACTTTATTTTATTTTATTTTATTTTATTTTATTCTATTCCTATTCTATCTATAGCACACCTGTACATACAATTTATTATTTTTTTGTGGTTTATATTTATGCATGTGTATTTTATTCACATCTTATTTTTATTATCTGTGTGTTGTTGTTGTCTCCGTGTACTGGAAGCTTGTGACACTATAACAAATTCATTGTATGTGCAAACATACTTGTCAATAAAGCTCTTTCTGATTCTGATTCTGATTCTGATACAGTGTTGACAGAACTGGGCTAATGGTCGTACTTCCTGGTTCTAGTGAGATTTTACACTTCACATTATTGTTGTCATTGTTAACAAATTAGTTAATTCCCTATGTATCATGAACACAACTAATAATGGACAAGGTTCTGTCTCTCTATATGACGCACAAACAAAGTGCGAACAAAGTGTACACAAAGTGGTTTGTTATTTTCTGTAATGTCAGGGGCTATATTTCTGAGTGGATAAATGACAATGTATTTGCTCCATAAAAATGCTTTAATTGAAAATGGTGTTTATAATTTGCATAATATTGGTATTGTGTGGAATTTGAGAATTGGTTAAGGTTCCTTTGTCTCTGCAAATACAACATTTATCAAAATGAAATTAGGTTAAAGTCACCATACTATAAAATTGGACAATTCTTGTTTTGTTTTAATAACATGTTGCAGTGTCTAATATAAATGATTTATCTGTACATGTCATTATTTTAAAATGCATGTGCACTCGTATAATCGTTAATCAAAAACATTAACGGTCAATAAGACTGTCCATTAACCAGATGAGTTTCATCCTTCCTCTCCAGTAACCTGTCATTTACATAAATGATTACAGAAATTAGTAAACAACAATGATCTACAGCAGTCAATTCCTGATTGACAAAATCAAGTTATGTCCATGTTTTTTCTTGTTCAAGAAGCAATTTCACTGGATGATATGTTACAATAAGAAAGAAAAGATGATCATAACTGCTGTTTCATGCTGACTTATAGATATAGTAGTTCATAAATAACTTTTGAAATCTTATTGGCTCAATAGACAAAAAAGGTAAGCAGAATTTAACAGTATGCTGTAAAGATATCTTACTGTAAATTTGTTTTGCAAGTCACTACAAAAAAGTTAAAAGTCATGCATTCGCAATACAATGTCAGGATGCCATTGCTGTTCTATCAGTGGCTGTTGTTTAAAGTCCTAATGCCACCGTTCTCGTTCCATCACGGCCGTCATTCCAGAGTCTCATCCCATCATGGCCACCACGCCAGAGCCTCCAGCCATCATGGCTGCCACATCAGAGCCACCAGTCCTCATGGCCTCCATGCCCGAGCCTCCAGCCTGGCCTCCGCACTGCTCCTCATTTAGACACATTAAACACAAGACTTTAGATGCTTGTTAAGAACTGTGAATTCACTAACGTCAACAGAGAACTAAAATCCCAAACTGTTCAAAGCTGCACATCATCCAGACTTTGCAGACGTACTTTGAGAGAGCCAGACTTGTCTTTACATGACTTTTTAGGGACTCTTGAGATCTCAGAACTGCAAGAATCTGGCATTGAAAATGGCTAAAAAAATAACTGAATCTGTCATTGCAGTCAGCCACAAAACTTCAAAAATCAAACAAAGAATTATGACAAATCAACTCGCCTAACTACGAAATGTAGAAATTGTGTTGGTATTTTTCCTCACAAAACAGTCAGTCCAGCAAAACACAGAATCTATAATACCTGTGGTAAACCCAACCTTTTTTCTAAAGTGTGTCGCTCTTCCACCAAAATCAAGAGACATGCAACACAAAGATTCAAGTGTACTGTGCAAGACAAACAACACAACAAAGTTCTTCAGGTCAGTGCAGACGTGTCAGTGCACACAAGCCCAGTCTCATCTAGCCGTGACGATGCATACGTCTTTGTTATCAAAAACACCAATACTGCCAAATTACCACAAACAATGTCACAAACATGCCTGCACTTATTGATTCAGGAGCTGCTGTGAATATCCTCAATGAGACTACATACAAATCTCTGCTGCAACCACCAGAATTGTGACCCTCCAGCATCCAGATATTCTCTTATGGTTCCAAACAGACACTTCCTATTCTTGGCACATTCACATGCACATGAAATCTCAAAGTGACAATACTGCTGCCAATGGACCCAGTGTTGCAGATGAGCTCGTAGAAAAGCACCCTGAGTTGTTCCAAGGGATAGGAAAGCTCAAAGATGTCATAGGTCTAGGTGCAATTCTGCTTTAGAACCACAATGGACAGTGATCCATCATTGCATATGCTAGCAAGGCTCTCACTGATGTTGAAAGACAATACAGTCAAACATAACGTGAAGCACTCAGCCTTATCATTTCTGTAATTCAGTGTTTTTTATTTTCAAATTAGCATAAAAAACATGTTACAGCAAATAAGAAAATGTATCTAACAACTACCCCCCACTACCTCCCCCCAACCCACCGCACATCAGGAATTTGAAAATAAATTAAATCTTCAGTAAAGAATGTAACCATTGTTTTATAGAAAGGTCATGAGGATGTTTCCATCATTGAACTTGAAGTTTGTTTGCAGCAGTTGAGGCAGCGAACCAAAATTTCCAGTCCTCCTCATCTAGAAGAAATTGAGAGTTATCATTCAAAAACAGCAGATCTTTGGACAGGATCTTTGGAAACATTAATCCTAGTGACCTTGTACAAAACATCAAGCACCATATTTCAAAAATATTGCCCTTTTGGACATTCCCAAATAATACACATCAAAGTACCCAGTCAACCTGGCCCACAAAAATTACAATAAGGGTTTGGTGATAAACCCAAAACATGTCTTATGCGTGTGGTTAAATATGCCCTGTGGATAATTTTAAACTTGATGAATTGATGAGTAGGGTTTGCGGATGCATGAAATGTATTATCCCACACTGTTTCCCATTCAATATTTCTATTGAAGGGTGTCAAATCAAATAACCAATATCTTGCTTTTGGAAGAATATCTGCTTTATGGTTTGAGAAACAAAAGTAAAAATAAGAAACAATTCCTTTGTTTGGCGCTTTGTGAATCCATTTCCCCACCGGATGAGTTTGAAGATCTGTACCCCAAGGTATGTGCCTTTAATGCTGCACGTGGTTTAAAATATAGAAATAAAGTATTATGAGAAATATTAAATCATTTAATTAATTCTTGGAAATCTAGGATTGATTTTCCTCCTTTTATGTAATTTAATGTTAGAATACCTTTTATAGCCCAAGATGGCTGTACAAAAGGTTGTCCAAAATAATTTAAAACTGTGCCAAATAAGGGTTTTGAGTATGCCATACAGTTTTAGAAGACAATGAAGCTTCTATCTTTGGAGAGTGTAGGATAGAATATAACCATATCCCTCTGATGCATCGTGGTCACTACAGTGGACAGATATTTGAAAGCCATTTTGAACCATTTAAGATGTAGCATCATGTCCCAAGCACCAACTGGCGAACCCACAAAGTGTTGTCTATGATTCCATTTAATTGTTGTCTTTTTATCTGTTTTTTTTGTTTTGTTTTGAGATATTGCACAATATATTCAAAATGGCTGCAGGAAAAGGGGAGGCACCATGTACCTTTGGAATAAGTGTTAAATACTTTTATTCTCAAAAAAAACAGACAGGTACAAAAAATATTTTTCAGTTAAATAGGATGTCAGAAATAGATTCATCCAGATTTTAAAGGGGTCATATGATGCGATTTCAAGTTTTCCTTTCTCTTTGTACTCTTTTTAATACTGTCACATGGAATTGATGTTGATGGTGTTGAAATTATGCAGCCAAGCGATGATATCTCAGATCATTATTTAGTCTTGTGCAAACTTCATATAGCTAAAACTGTAAATTCTAATCCTTGTTACAAGTATGTTAGAACCATCACTTCTACCACAAAAGACTGCTTTGTAAGTAATCTTCATGATTTATCCCAATTCCTTAGCATTTCCAAAACCCCAGAACAACTTGATGAT